TCTACAAAACAAAACTTAGTAGATCAAAATCTGACCCATTCCAAATGTTTTCCGATATAGGCCTATTGGTCATCTTATGATCCTATCTTACTCATCTCATGCGGTTCCGTTTTCATATAATCAACATAGATGAAATAATAAAAAAAACCCACTATATTATTTAAACATAAATATGAAACGTATGTTTTTTTTTTTTTTAACTTATAAGCGTCACACCGCTCCGCTTTGCTCACATGCTAATAATCAAATACCCAGCGATCTTCGAATACTATTTTTCCTTGAAAATTTCGTTTTGTATAAATTGTATCTTCATTGTAATCAATGTTTCCATCAACAAATTTGCAAGCTTTATTTCAGGTGTTGCTTGATAGCCTATATCTCTGCGCCCAAGTAGCAGTGCTTCGCCTGTGCTTCCCCCTATCAGTCTAGCATTGCCATGTCAGTGTATTGATTCATTGTCCCTTCATAGTTTGCAAGAGACATATAATAAACTGAGCATATTAATAATCTGAGACGTAGGCTATTTAATAAACTGAGCGTAGCCTATTCATCTGTCAATATGAAACGCGACTGGGTCATTCTAATTAATGATCGAAAAACGCGTATCGACCACCGTTACTGTAAAATATGCACGTATGTCCATTTAAACTCGATTTTGGTCAAATGTGGATTATATCATTACACTGGCAAGAATATGGTTACATTTAAAGTTGTCGTACCAAGTATGACAATGCTACGTTCAACTGCTTTTGAAATTACGTGTTTTTTTCACTTCCTGAAAAGTAACCGTTTTGGACATACGTGAGTTTCATCGGGCAGCGACGAAATGTATAATTACATTGTAATAAAAATATAATTACATTGTAATAAATGTATAATAACACTGTAATAAATGTATAATTACATTGTAATAAATGTATAATTACATTGTAATAAATGTATAATTACGTTGTAATAAATGTATAATAAGACTTTAACAAATGTATAATTACATTTTTTACACAACTTTTTTCAAAAAGAATCGCTACTTTTTTCAAAAAGAATCTGTACTTTTTCCAAAAGAATCGCTACTTGTTTCAAAAAGAATCTGTACTTTTTTCAAAAAGAATCTGTACTTTTTTCAAAAAGAATCTGTATTTTTTTCAAAAAGAATCGCTAATTTTTCAGAAAAGAATCGCTACTTTTTAAAAAACAATCGCTAACTTTTTCAAAAAGAATAATGTAACAAATGTATAACAATAATGTAACAAATGTACAATAACACTGTAATAAATGTATAATCACATTGTAAGAAACGTATAATTACATTGTAATAAACGTATAATTACATTGTAATAAACGTATAATTACATTGTAATAAACGTATAATCACATTGTAATAAACGTATAATTACATTGTAATAAACGTATAATTACATTGTAATAAACGTATAATTACATTGTAATAAACGTATAATCACATTGTAATAAACGTACAATCACATTGTAATAAACGTACAATCACATTGTAATAAACGTACAATCACATTGTAATAAAACTACAATCACATTGTAATAAACATACAATCACATTGTAATAAACGTACAATCACAATCACATTGTAATAAACGTACAATCACATTGTAATAAACGTACAATACAATCACATTGTAATAAACGTATAATCACATTGTAAGAAACGTATAATTACATTGCAATAAATGTATAACAACCTTAAAAAGAATTGCTACTTTTTTACTTCAGAAGTAAACAGTGTAGCTGACTTAATGTTTAGCTGACAGAATGTTTATTTTTAAACCACAACTTTTTTGTGTGCTTTTTTTACCGATATATTTACCGATATCTTTTGCATTTCTAATCCAAACAACGTCAAACTCGGCACTGCACTTACTCGTGCCCGTAGCAAGACACCCGTCAAGTTTGAAATCAATCGGACTAACGGTTCGAGAGATATTCGATTAACAGACAGATTGACAGACAGACACACAGACGTTCCTGTAATTTATAGATAGATATATACGTGCAATTAGTCTACTAAAGGCTTAAATGAATGACTACTAGTCGACTAGACAAATCTTTAGTCAGGGGCAGCCCTAGAATATAAATAAAAAATTCCAAATAAATCTCTACATAAAAAAAGAAAAGACTCACTGTATATCAATAAATTATACAGTATATCAGATTTATAGCTTTGAGCCTGTGTGTGTGTGTGTGTGTGCAAGATGAACAGAAATAGAGAGGAAAGTAGAGTGAGAGAAAGAAAGCAATTTGAGAAAAGCGTATGATTGACTGATGGGAGAACAAGTGCCATGTGCAAAGCAAGTCTCGCAGAAGTATTGATCAATATTCTCATCCCGTTGCTCATAAACTACAGCTTGGACAGCATGCTCCAATCATGGCTCTCCCTGCCGGAGCTGACAGCTAGAATGGCGCTTTTATTGTGAGCCAAGTCAGCTTTATCTGTGTCTTGGGGAAATTTAAAACTAGTGCCAGTGTTTGAACGTCACCCATAAAACAGACCTCTTCGATTCAGCGCTGTGGTGTCACTCGAAGAATATTGGCATATCGACAGGCCAACCTTACAGTAAAAGTGAACGAGAGGACAATTGAGATCTACTGATTACTGCCAATAAGGAGTGTGCACATTGATGGGAGCTTCTTTTACAGCTTTTTGTGCTCAAATGGCATTTAACAAACCTGCTGAAATGAGGACTAAGATCAGCCACTGCTCCAAATAAGCTCTGGTTCTGTTCGAATGATAAATCCACAGCAACAGAAATGTCTGTATCGCTCGGGTGTTTTGAAGAAATTGACTGCATGACTATTCTTTTAGCACTGAGAAGAAGATGAAAGTGAGATGGACATTTAAAAAAGAATCATAAATTGCTTTTCTCTGTGTTACAGAAAAAAGAAAAACACTAGAATTAATTTGTTACCATATCTCCAGGCGCCCTCTAACTCCTGACTGAAGCTCAGAAACGCTTTGAGGAAGACCTTTTTTTCCACCTTCTCATTAAAAACTCACACATTTCTTCCGTTGCATCATCCATACGAGACTGTCGTGAGCGTGTGGTGTGTGCTGACTTGGCACACGAAAGGCTTTGTGTTGTTTTAGTGTCTCTTTAGAGCGGTTTCATAACCAACTCGCAGGAGCTCAGGCCCAAATCTCATCAGTAATGGAAATGTGGTGTATGTTGATACAGAAAGCTCACGGGAGAGCCTGCGAACCACATCTTTGACAGACTTTAACTTTGCTTTCGGCAATTAGAAGGCATGAGAAATGGGAAATGCGGATGTTTTGCGTGATAATGTAGTTGGCCACCAAGTCCGCACCACAAAAAAAGAACCTTACCGAATTGATTTATGCGATGTTTGGAAAAACATACCCCAAGAAGCAATAAAGCAACATGCCAAGTAGACCATTAAACAAGTCCTTGAGTAAACCTCTGCTAAATAAAAAAGGATTGAAAGAGTGGCTAAAATGCCATCTTTAATCTATGTGCCAATTGTTCTAACTGGGGTAATATTGCTTAAGTCAGTCTTTTCCTCTCACAGAGCCTGGCTGAGGAACAGCCACCAAGTCTCAATAAATATTTCCCAGAGTCTCCATTTGCTTGTGACTCACTGATTGATACTATAGTAGTTTAGTATTTTTATGCATTTTAAGTTATCATAGGTGTAGGCAATTTAATTATGCTGCCTTCTAAGATACCTTCTGTCGGCCAAATTCACATGTACTGTATACATCACAAGTATTCAAAGAGAAGGAAAGCACAGAATGCATTGTGCTGAGCTCAGTGAAAAAAAAAATACATCGTAGATGGCAGACGAGGTGAAAGAAATGAAACATATTTCATTCAATATAAAATTCAATATAAAAATAGTTATAGTATAATAGTGTAATAAGAGAAAATTATTATTTTACTCTATATTTGTGTGTGCTATGCACACCGTTCAAAGGTTTTGGTTCAAGGCTTTTTTTAAAAAGACATATCCGCAAGGATGCGTTAAATTGATTAAAAAGTGACAGTAAAGACATTTATAACGTTACAAAATATTTCTATTTCAAATAAATGCTGTTCTTTTGAACTTTCTATACATCAAAGAATCATGAGTCCCACAAAATGACAGTTTCCACAAAAATACCAAGCAGCACAACTGTTTTAAACATTAATAATAACAAGAAATTATGATTTTTAAAAATCAAGTGAGTTTTGCCATCACAGGAATAATGACATTTTAAAATCTATTAAATTAAAAAAACAAGTATTTTAAATTGCAATGATATTTCACAATATTACTGTTTTATTTATTATTATTTGATCAAATAAATAAGACAATTTTTAAAAAATCTTATAGACCTATCCAATAATAAATCCTAATATAGATCTATCTATATTTTTCTGCTTATTAGGGAATTGTGACATTATATTAGCAACATTTTAGACCATTCCGAATCAGTCACTTCAACCTAAGTAGAAGGCAGCTGTCTATCTAGGTAGTAGACAGCAAGGCAGCTCACTAGGGTTTGGAACAGAGCTTATGTAAATGAAGAAATAAATGAGAGGTTTCTTGGGAAAGAACTCTCTGGCGTATGAGGCAAGAACCAACCATTTCTTCGCAACCTTATTCAGAAAGTCTCATCACAGCTGGTTCTGCTCACATAAACAGATGCATGCTGCATTTATGCTGATACTTGGAGACATAAGTGGATTCAGTCTGTAAAAGTAAGTCACTTTGCAAATTTTGTACCATTGTGGTTATTTCAGATGCTTTCAGACTTGAATTCCAGAACACATCTACTGCATAAGTACATACTTGAGTTCCAGTAAATGCATGATGCATAAAAATGCAAATGGTGAATGGTGTGCACTATAATATTAGTGCTATTATACCTCCTCTATAATGCTATCAAACTTCTTTTGTAAACAATTGAATGCATGTCCACATTCAGTTGTATCTTGAAAGGTGTGTTTGGATACAGAAGTGATCACCTCACCTGCACCCGTGTTGATGTTCCTCATGCTCTCCTTTGCACTGACTCTGTTGTTGGGAGGATAATCTGGCACCGGGGCCTCATAGCGCCTATCTGGGACGCGTGGGCTGGTCTTACTGGGGTAGGATCTAGGTCACAACAGGGAAAACAAGGAAGATTAAAGTGTTTGAAATCAACTAAATATGACTTAATTTTTTTTGTTGTGTTTTACTAGAAATAGTCATCTTTTTTTATTTAACTTTAGTTATAAAATCATATTCAAATGTATGATGGCAGCCCAATAAACTTTATAGAAATTTATAATTTACAATTTAAATTTATAGATTGCTTTCAATCACATACCCGGGTGAGATGCCAAACCTGCTCTATCATTATTGTGCATTTAAACCCCGCAATTAATGTAATGTAATCTACTTAACTGTTGATGACTGATGTCCTAATGGACATTTATGTTGATGGAACTGTGGTACACATGCTTTGGGTCATGATGGGTGATGCTCTTTCTCACCCCACTGATGAATGCTGCTCATCAATGGCATCCACAGCACTCTCTACAGAGTTCAGCAGAGACTGGATCTGATTGGCTGATTCCTTCAACAGGAATCGGGTCACAAACTGCTCAACATTAGTTCCACGTTCATATACCTGCAGTGAGTGAGGGAGAAAGAGACAGGAAGAGGAGATTGAAGGAGGGAAGACAGATAAAAGCACATCAGCACTTTTCCGATGATCTTAAGCATGCATATTTGATGAAGTCCTGTTTAAGAAACTCTAGCAAATTTTGCTCCAGCTTTAAGCAAAACATGCTCCAGAGGTCTCAGGGAAAGAACAGATGTGGAACGAGCTCAAAGAAAGGAGATAAACCAAGATGCTGCTCATGTGGGTGAAAGCTTAGGGCAAGTTAAGTTCTGAAAACTCGTAATGGTGTTGGACATTAGAGGAGCCAACACACATTGATCCGGTGACATTTTGACCGCTTCCCCAAACACTCAGGGTCTGTTTTACACCATAGAGGAATAATGTTTCACAAAGGTGTTGTACTGGAACAAACAGACTTTAAAGGTGTTAAAGATTTTGGCCCCGAAGCTGCTTTAGTGCTTTATAATTGTACATATAAACACATGGGTTCTGTCAAACACTGCCAGGAGCCATTGTGGACTCTTAGTTTGGAGTTTTATGACCTTTTAACCACATATATGTCATCTTTTTTTGCAATTTCCTCATATAATCTTGATCGCTGTCCTATATTGTCTATATGGCAAAAAAAAAACCTTTGTGTAGTAGTCAATACTCAAATCATGGACATCATAAAAAGGGAGTAAACATCTCATCTGTGGCTTGCTCAGTCATTGTCCATTGGCACTGAGATTTTGCTCTGATTTGCAGAAAGATTGCAATGGTCAGCGTTTTAACCAAACCTGGCCTTCACGGATCGCAAATGAATATCTAAATGGGAAGGCAGCATTGGCAAGTAAAATTGGACTGCAGTGCTGGCCTCTGTAAGGTATCTCATAAATTATGCTGCATTACCATGCAGACTTAGAATGACTGTGTATAAAAAGACCATAACAGAAGCAGTAATAAAGGAGACTGGGTGTACAGCCTGTAGTACTCCATCAGTCCAAGAAAACAAAGTATGTGAGTCAAGGAAGGAGGGGTGAAATGGGGGGCTGAGTAGTCTAGCAGTTCAAATTCATTTAAATGAAAAGATTGCAGGTTTGATTTATGACTTGAAGGGATGAATGGATAGTTCAACTAGAAATTAAATTCCATAAATGACTGAACCTCATGTTGTTCCAAATCTTTATGAATTATCTTCTTTTATGAGAAAAAAACATGCTGTTTTGGACCACACTGACTATCATAAAATGGATAAAAGTAGTTGAAAGATTTTTACTAATTTTTTTTTAATGTTCCGCAGAAGAAAGACAGTCAGATAGGTTTGAAACGACATGAGGGTGAGTAAATGATGCTCCTTTTCTTTCTTTTTTTTTACCTTCGCCATTATATAACAATCACCTAAAGTTAATCTTCAAAACCAATAATAATTGAATAAAACTGTTAAATGTACTTTTAGTAAATATTCATTTTTCATAATGTACACTTCAGAATTGTGATGTCTCAATTCACTTTAGCTAAGTTCACACTGCCGGCCCTAAATGCGTATCCGATTGGAATCTGATCTAAAATGACTGACTGTGTACATTGTGTTTCGCAACTGTTCAGATCCGATTTGTTTGTCCCATGCCGCTCTTTCATTTTCCGGAATATCTGCATTGGTTTCTATTGCAATGACCATGCAAAATGACAATGTTGGTAACTAAGGATACACATAAAACAAAAACAACCGACACATGGAGGGGTTTGCAATACTGATGTTGTCCTTACAATATGACCATGTGTTGGCGGCTACACATGGTCATATTGTAAATAGGACAACATCTGTATGTGGACTACTGCGTCTTATGAGGCAGAGGCAGAAACGTAGGACGCTGGTATGAGCGGCTTTATTCCGTGACCACCGGTTTCAAAACATGTCTCCGTTATATTGTCATTTTTTGCTCGTCCAGCACTTTGCAACAACACAACCTTGTTTCTGCAGCGACTTTCAGCATTTCTACATAACGTCTGACGTTTATGTTTTACGTGGCATGAAAGAGTGACATAAACCAGTGCGCGAAATCCGATCAGAGCAGTCAGACTGAAACGGATTTGCAGGAATGCGATTTGAAAAGGATTTCAAACCACATATAAATGTGATTTTTTTTTGCCATTCACTGATCGGATTTCAATCGGGTATGCACAAAAATCGAATTTGGACTGACAGTCTGAACACAGTTCTGAGAGTCTTTGTAGCTTTTAAAATGTGTTTTATTTTTAATTTAAGTAAAACAGTATAGAATTTTAATATATAGGTTATTAACAATTGCATGAAAATAATTATTAATTTAACATTGTGCATAGAGCCGTTTCATGGTGAAACTGCATAGAAAAAGACTTCCTCTGGCCCTGTTTGTGTGGTGAAAAATAAAGATTCTTTTCTAAATGGAGGATGGATGCTAGAGTTTGTCATGCTCACCTGCCTGAACGAGGAGCCACCAGGTGGTGACGGCGGCGGTTGGGAAGGCTCAGAATGATTTATTCGAATGGTATGCCAGGTCAGTGGTTCTGCAGGGCGTTTTAGTGCCAACAAGGGCCTTAACACAGACCAGCAGGCTCGGAGGCAGGGCTTACTGTCCATGCCAAAATAAACATGATTTCTCAACATAACTGGCAAAACAAATAACTTTTCAAATCCAGAAAACTGCATCAACCAAATGACAGCAATGATGACGTTAGACGTAAATCAAGAAGTAAAACAAATAACCTGAAGATCAAAACTCTATATAACCGTCGCGGGCCTTTAATGAGCTGTAAATGTGTTTGAACTCTCAGGACAACAACATGCTTGGAGCAAACTAATGATTTGGTGCCCAGACTGCATGAGTGTATAAGGATATGGGTTGTCATGAAATATTCATTCTTCTCTATTATGGCTCAGGCAACACATATACTCAAACACAAATGTACAAATGGTCTGTCACCCTTCTGTAAAATATGCTGTAGGCACTTCTGAAAGTGTGACTGATAAGGTGAATTACTGAATAACAATGAGTGACATACTGGACTAAAGCATCCTGAGACACCTGCGCTCAAGCCAAAACCTAAACAGTCGAACAGAGCATTATATGTGATGCACAAAGACAGGTTTTCCACAAAATAAACAATGTCACATACAAGATGAATATACCATCAGGGGCTGAGGAGGAGGTTGTGAGGAATTGTGATCTTACAGTTGGAGATTTTCCACAGAGAATATGTGTCACCTTTGGTGAAAAAATTAAATAAAATGGAACTGCTAACAACTAATGTTTTTTGTCCTTTGTAGAGTGAGCATTGAATATTATATATTGAATATAGCATGGCAAATGCAGACAAGTGCTTAGTACTCACGCAATATTATAAAGTTCAAAGTGAAACAGGGCATGAAGAAACCCTCATATCAAGTTTAATAACCAAAGCTGGTCATTTTAAATAGCCATCGGCAAATGAACCCCAGGATAAAATGGCATATTATAGTGGGACATGTAATTTGACTGATTTGTCCAAGCCTCTTTAAACGCAATTTTGCATATCACAAAATGTTGTTGCTAAGAAACATATTGACTGCTGTTGCTAGGATACGATTAATTGGCTCATGTCTGAACAGAGAATGTCGTGTGTTTTTGTCTGAAAATAGATGAAAGCTTACAGTTATACTAACATATTTACAAAAAAAAGTCACACCTTTCTATTTGTTGATGAGGCTAACTAATAAAGAAGATACACAGATACTGTGCCAGATAATTATACAAGATATATGCATCTGCTCGTCTCCATTATATTATCCAATACAATAAATTGCTATTTATCTAATTGTTATTGTCTTTTTTTTTTCTCTCTTTTTTTTTTGAATGAGCACCCCCGTAACAGTCATTACTGGGCTGGTCGAAACCATCTTAGGTTGACAGACACCCTATATTTCTTTTATTTTGACATGCTGAAAAGCTACTCAAGTGACTTTATTTTCCCATTCAAATTTATAATAAAGAAAATTATATTGTAAATATACTATAAATGTATTAAAAATAAATGTAATATATTAAATATATCATTATATTAAATATGTAGTGCTGCAAAGCGACTCTTTCCCTTCCACTCTAAACAAAATGTTCTTTTAAATACAGTATATTACAAATATATATTTATAATAACAAATATAATATATTAAATTTGTCAGAAGAGTTGAATTAAACTTTATTCACAAATAATGTGTGATTTTTCCTGTAATATTATGGAGGGGCATGGTCAAGTTTCTGTGTACTTTGAGATAAAATTCTGTGATCGAACCTGGGTAGGGTTGCGCAGTCATTCGTAAGTTATTATTCAAATTGGAACGTAAAGTCCACACTGGCTTAGTAACCACTGTAGTAACTCTGTACTTTATTCGTTTGCACCATTTGTTCTTAAGGCAGAACGTAGCTAGTAGGTAGTAAGCTCTCTGTAAAGTCATGCGTAGTCGCATATGACATCTACCTTCAATGATCCAATAGCAGCATTCAAATATATGAGTAGAAGTTGTTTAAATGCTGTAAGTTTCAGTTTATTCTTCATTCTTTTGCCTCAAGTTACTAACAGTAAAAATAAGTTTTCATTAAAGCTGCAGTCCGTAGCTTTTCCTCTTTGTCGCCATCTCTCTGTTCGAAATCTGTAACTGCAGTGATTCGCGGAATTATCATCTTTACGTGGGTTGTAAATCGGCATGAAACAGCGCGGATGAACACAGTGCTTTGAGGCGAGTGGTGCTGTCAGTCACCGCGCTGTGTGGATACTGTCATACAGAATCACAGATTCACTTTTTGAAAGTTTGACCAACATAAGAATTTTCATTAGAAAATGTCTTCTGAACAAGTAAGTAACATCCATTTTTGTTCTGACCAACTAAGGGGGAAAAAGCATTCGACATGATAAGCTTCGTTAGATTTAATCAACGCGATTTACAGCAACCGTGCAAATTATAGCCTACTTTGTTCTCAAATTGTTCATGTTAACAACATCACATCAGC